CGTTTTTGAGGCGAAAATTAAGATATTTTTGTAATTATAATTTATTTTAGGGTTATAATAGTCTTTTTCATTATAATTTTTTAATTTTTTAATCCAAAACGAATTCATTTTGAGAGCGAATGTAGAAAACTTATCTACATTACTGTAGAAACATTAAAGCCATAAAATAATTATTATTATTTACAATATGAATGTTGCTGTTGTGCCCTAAAAAACAAACACTTTCATAATGGGAAACTCATGCAGGAAACCAGTTTCTCATGTGTCTTCAACAAGTATTTTTGGCCAGTTTGTGGTTATTTTAATCATTTCTATATCACAAGTTTTTCTTTTTTTAATATTTGATTACAAACCTTCATTTGTTTTTCTTGCCTCCACCTTGCATGCCACTAGGTTGGTGTTAACGCCGCCTTAAATTTTAATCAGTGTTTGTTATATATAGTGGATGCTTCCATTTTTCTCTCTTTGGTTTCCACGTTGAGGGGTGGTAGAAGACGATGTTTTCTAAAGGTTAAAACAGTTGTTCATAGACTTTAACAGTGAAAGATTATAGAATTTGCCATTCTTGAATGAACCTTTTCTTTCTGTTCTTAAGTCCTTGACTTTCTAGGATTAAATGAAAATTTTGACTTTTGCTCCACTTAAATATAGACCTCCGTTAAAATTTGGTCTGAAAAAAAATGCAGACTCTGAGGCTTCTTTGCTCTGATTTAGGTTCTCCATAATGTTGAATAATTTTGCATTTTAACTGAAATTTGTTGAGCAAAAATCATTCAAGTTATGCTCGAAGTTTGGAATTTTAATGCCCTATGGTTGTTTGTTCATTAATGTTCATATTTTGTGTGAGCAGTACCCCAAAGTTGAAATCATCTCATTGCACTTGAATATCTTATTTTATATTCTTAACGAAATTATATATAGCTGTTCAAGTTTGTACATATTAAGTGGGTTCAGTTAGTATAAATATGGCTTGTTCAGCAAGTTCAAAAAATTCTGGTATAAGGTAAGTGACTTACCGAAGATGTGCTTGAGAGAGATGAAAAAGAGGACTGAAAATCACTTTATAGATGTTTGCTTATGTATGCCAAATTTGGTATGTTAGATCATAGTGTTGAAGATTCAGAGCAAGATTGATAAAAACCACATATTTAGTGAAAATTTGTTTGATGGTTTTTCAAGTTTTATACCACAATATGTATAACGAGATAGGAAAATGGCATGTATATAAAACCAGAACTCTTAATCCTAAATGCTTGCTCAAAACCTCTTCTTTGCAGATCTTAGAATCTTCTTATCATAGAAAGCAAATATTATCTCTATTTATGTTGAAGTTTACATTTTAATTAACATGACATGCACTGTTCTAGATCACATGCATAATTTGGATCAGGGTTGGAGTTCTGGTTCATTCTCTGCATGGCTATTAACATTCTTATCATTTATCTTGTTCAAAAAAAAAAAATTAATGTTTCTGCATGTAGTTAGATATTATACTTAATTGCACCCTTTTTCATATTAATCAACTTCAAGAAGTTACAAGTGACAGAGCTGTGCAGTCTGGTGCACAAGATTTTAGAAGTTATTCTAATGTCTGCTTTTAACTTGCATTTTATCTACTTTCAGGAAGTACAAAGTCTCAAAGTAAGACAAAGAAGTATTCTAAAATTCCTGAACGAAAAGATGCTTTGCAAACTTCAGCATCAAATATTGACAAATCCATCTCCAATAAGCTCAAGTCCTTCACCTTCACTGATCTAAAGGAGGCCACTAATAACTTCAGGCAAGAAAATTTAATTGGGGAGGGAGGATTTGGGTTTGTCTACAAGGGATGGATAGATGAGAACACTTATGCTCCCACAAAACCAGGGACTGGGATTGTAGTTGCCATTAAGAAGCTTAAGCCAGAAAGCTTTCAAGGCCACAAGGAATGGCTTGTATGTGCAACACAAACTCAAATCTCATGCTTCTTTCTAACTGGTTGGTCTTGCTTGGTGTTGAATGATTTTCTGCCCTTTTTGTTGGCAGGCAGAAGTCAATTATCTAGGGCAGCTTCACCATGAAAATCTGGTGAAACTTATTGGTTACTGCTCAGATGGTAAAAACAAGCTTCTAGTTTATGAGTTTATGCAGAAAGGAAGTTTGGAAAATCATTTATTCAGAAGTAAGTAGCATTTTCACTCTCAACATATTTAGTCTCATACTACTAGTATACTGCGAGCTTCGAGCAGTGATAAAGCTGCTCCTTTGTGTTTAAAAAGTCATGGATTCGAATTCGAGAAACAACCTCTTTGCAAATATGCAATGGTAAGGTTTTGTAAAACAATACAAGAATTGTCCTCACCCTTACCCACGCTAGTCAGGTTTTAATGGAGAGTGGTTATTTCTAGTGTACAACATATTGCTTTTGAACTGACTACTGAACCATAATTTCCCTTTTATTCATAACACCTTAAATTTGGTTTCCATTTCTGCATAAGGTGTTCAACCCATTTCTTGGCTTACACGGATCAATATTGCAATTGCTGTTGCAAGAGGATTAACATTCTTACACTCCCTTGATGCAAATGTTATCTACCGTGATTTGAAGGCTTCCAACGTCCTGCTTGATTCGGTATGTAACACTGAAAGTTTGGCTTGTGGATCTGTGAAGACCAAATCTGCTGTTTATCTACAAGTTTCCATTCTAAAGGAGTTGCTCTAAAATTTATGTAGGATTTCAATGCAAAACTCTCTGATTTTGGCTTAGCAAGAGATGGTCCAACTGGAGACAACACTCACGTTTCAACCAGAGTTATTGGAACTCATGGTTATGCTGCACCAGAGTACGTAGCTACAGGTAGATTTGCCTTTTTTTTTTTTTTTTATCTTGATCAAAGCATTAGGTTCTTAGCTTTCGGAGGTCAAGGTGGACAGTACCAGAAAGCCAAAACAAAAGCAAGGAGCAATTAGGACACAGGCAGATGCACTGTTATACTATCAATGCACACTTGAGAATTGTTAGAGTATAGTTATTCAAAAAAAAAAAAAAAAAAAAGAATTGTTAGAGTAATATAAACCATTAAAGAGGCCCTTAGCTAACAGCTTAAACTTTTGGATTGAATTGGTTCTTTACATTGTATTAGAGCCTCGTGTCCTGGATTTGATTCTCACCGCCCTCCACTTTCTCTTGTGGAATTTTCTTATCATAGGTAGGTGAGCCTATGCATTATTCACCCTTTAAGCCCAGTAGACTCTCGTGTGAAGGGGCGTGTTAGAGTATAATATAAACCATTAAAGGAATCCTTACCTAACCGCTTAAGTTTTTGGGTTGAATTTGTTCTTTACAAGAATTTTATTTTATATTATTTTTTTTAATTTTCTTGTAATTAACTTGGACCAGTGTGAATGTAAACTCACTTCTACAAATACTTATGTCCATGATTTGTAAATTTGATGAGCCAATCTTTTCATCTTTATAATAAGTTGGCTTTTGACTAAACAAACAGGTCATTTGACCCCTAGGAGTGATGTATACAGCTTTGGTGTGGTCTTGTTAGAGTTACTAACAGGAAGGCGTGTAGTTGAAGATGAGAGACCTGGATTTTCAGAAGAAACACTGGTGGATTGGGCAAGGCCATTCCTGAGTGATTGTAGAAGAATTTTGAGAATCATGGATACCAGGTTGGGTGGTCAATATTCCAAGAAAGGATCCCAAGCTGCAGCTTCACTTGCACTGCAATGCCTGAATACTGATCCCAAACATAGACCACCTATGGTGAATGTTCTAGCTGTATTGGAAGCTCTGCATTCCTCAAATTCAATCCCAAAGACCCCAAAATCTAGAACTGAGAATAATGCAAACAAGCATTCTAGTCATTCCCATAAGTCAGCTGGAAATACTAACAAACTATGAGCTGCTTTTTTCTATGTGGATTAATACTTGTGCATCCCAACAAGTGCTTTGTTCTTTCAATTCTGTGGCTAAGTGAATGATTTTCATCTGAACGTGGGACAAAGTATGATTTTTTTTTCTTTTATTTTGGCGGGGTTCATTATTGGAAAGCATTACCATACTTAAGCAGCTGGATTCTTATGATTATATGAATTGTTTGAAACGGGTATATGGTTTGAACAACTAAAACTTGTAACTTTTTACCATTATATTCATTTAATTTAGGGTTTGTCGTTTCTCTATTAAAATTAGATAAAATTAACTTCATCAACCCCAAAATTACGTCGTCTTGGGTTAAAAGAATTAACGAAGGATGTTTAGTAAAATTCATATAACAAGAAACAAATAAAATTCTTAAAATTCCCTTCGTCAATTCACCCAATCCCCGAAACAACGTAATTGTGGGATTGATAGAGATAAAAAAAAATTTGTTTTAATGGAGAAACAATAAACTCCTTAATTTATCTATATAGAGTTGCATCATTTTCAAAAAACAAATTACATACAACTTAACACTTTTGTAAATTGGTTATGCTTTTTTTTTTTTTTTTGTAAATAATTGGTTATACTTTTTACCCCTCTCTACACGTCATCTCCAATGTTATCCTTCCAAAACTTTTATCAAAGTGAATACCATATCTCATAAAAGAGTGGTTTCTTAATTTACATATTCCTTCAACTCTTATAACGTTTATTTACTCCACTAAATTTTTTAATTCAAATTAAATTTAATACACATTATTTACAAAGTAATTTTTAAAAGCACATACCATAACTTTTTAAATATTGCGTCATGGTACAAACTGATTTGCTCGTCTCTGTTTTAATTCAAAAAAATAAAATAAAAAAATACCGTCCCACATCGCGAGATATTTTCCCAAAGATACCAAATAAACCGGAAAAAGGTCAAACAGCCCACTTAGTGTGACTCTATATTTGCACTGTTCGTGTGGGAACCAGGGACAACTTAAAGAGATAGGGAAGAATGTTTAGATGGATGCAGCAAGGATCACAATATAGGATGCAAAATTAGATTGAAGCTTAATCAAGGATGTGAATTCTTGTTGAATATTTTCGGACATCATATTACAATGGAAAAAATTTATGTTACAAAGCAAAATGCACTATAAGTGTAAAACAAAACAAAACAAAACAAAACATGGTATAAGGTAGTATCCCAGAAAGAATATCAGTAAGAAGAGCAGCTTGTTACACATCTTAAAGCATGCTGCTATCATTCATACATAATACAGAGGAATCTATGGCACATAAGAAAAAACTACAAATCAGAAGTTCACTCCACTTTTAAGGTCCCCTTATGACAAGCAGCACCAAACATCACCTAAGGTGCATGCATCACAAATGCTTCCAGGCACTTCAAGTAATATTATATCTCAATAATCTATTATCCATTGAGGCCATATCTCAAAACTTTTTCTCAATAACTTGATCCATCAATTTTTACCTGATATTTCTCAAATACATCAGAGAATCACCAAATCACAACACTAATTTGGATCAATATAAGAAAGTTCATTTACTGCTGCCAGCCATACTGTTGATTGCGGTTTCCACCCATCATGTTTGAGCCACGGCCAGCAGTTGACCCGCCATATGGACCACCTTGTTGGGGATAATTTGGAGCTCCAACTCCATAGCCGCTACCACCACCCCCACCCCCACCACCACGAGGACCACCACCAGGCATACCACTGGACCCATAAGGTGCCCCCCGCCCTTGGGAAGGATAAGGCCCACTGCCATAACCACCTCCTCCTTGACCTCCACGATTTGGATGATTGTATCCTCCACTAGGGTTCCCACCGGGGGGATATCTTCCTGGCCCACCAGATGGCCCTCGAGGCTTCCCATAATGATGAGTAGGTCCTGCAGCAACTTGGGGTTGAGAGCCATGGATTGGTTGGTTAGGTCCTGACCTCATTTGAGCATGTTGCCCAGATTGCTGAATTGGGGGAAGACGAGTGTGCTGCTGTGGGTGTTGCATTTTCTGACGCTTAGCATTTTCTTCATTTTGCCGTTGTTGCTGGCGCTTTTTCTTTGTCTGAAACTCATGTGACGACTCATACTTGGGTAAACTAAGCAAATCATAAAGAGTAGTAAGTTGAAAAATATTGACCAGAAAGCGATTAGTTGAATAGAAACAATAAAGAAATTTAAAAGGGGAGGAATGAATGGGACAGGTACTTTATCCTATCAAGATCACATGCTTTTAAGAAAAAGTAATATTTTGGAAATGAAAACTAAAGTATATGGAAGGTCTTACCTCTTAGGATCACATGGTAAAGGATCCGTCCAGAAATACTCAGCATCAAGTGCATCCTTTGCAGTAATTCTCTATAGAAATCAAATTGACAAACAAATATCAGGATGCAGATCACGAACAACATTAAGTATCATAAAAGCATATGGTCTAGTTGTGAATTATAAATTGCTGGATTACACCGTAAACAACGCATACGATCATATATTATTAATGACATATGCATAGCATAACGGCATTTACACTTAAAAATTCGTCTCACACTAACATTATGCATTAATTCTTTTTTTCACCATTTTTAAATTTTAATACATTACATAATTCTTATAATAGCCCTAACTCAATTAATTAGCAAATTACATGTAATTAAATAATTAAGCATGTATTAGTGAGTAAAATTAAGTATAAGACTTAATAAAACGAATTGGAGTCACTTTGGAGGTAAAAAGTGTACTCAGTGAAAATTAAGGAGTATAAATTGGTGTAGGCAAAAGTACCCAAAATATAAAAATAAAAGTGGAAATGTTCCTAGAACAATATTCCAGACTTTTGGGTGAAGTTTGGTAATTATTGGAGTTAAATAGATAGATGAACCAATACCCGCATTATTTCACTTAACATATGTTAAGTAATAAAATAACACAAAAAAACCCCATTTCCCACCCAAACCGTCGAGCAAACTGAGAGAGGAAAGAAGAAGAAGAAGAAGAAAGGGAGAGAGAAGAAGAGAGAGAGAGGAGGGAAGAAACCTTGACCGTTTTGAGTGATTCAAAAGCCTAAATCGCTTAGAATCTCGCCCTCATCATTAATCTAAGCTTGGTTCTTAGTGGGGAGTGTTGTGTGGTGAGATTTTTCCTCTCAAAATTTCGCCCCTTTGAGAGAGTTTGGGGTTTTGGGAGCTTCAACCTCCATTGGAGCTTGAGGAGCCATCAATCCTTGGTTGTGTGACCATTGGTGGTAAGATTCTACTCCTTGAACCCCATAATCCATTGAAATTGCATGATCTAGGGTTTACTGAATAGTGTTTTAGGGCTTTTGTGAAATGTTGATAGATTGGCTATATTCTAGAAGTATTGGAGCTTAGCGGATGTTATGAGAAATGTTAGTAATGGCATTTAATCGGTGAAAATGAGCTTAGATAGTCATTGAATAATACTTTGAGAATTGCAAAAATGTCATGCTTGGAATTGTGGAAATTCTTGCATTGTTGAACCATTGCTTGGTTAGTTGTTGATTGTATCCTTGTGTTGTCTAGGATTGAGGCAATTGGACCAACCGTTGGAGCAAGCAATGGAGCTTGATTAGCTCTTTGGGATAGGTAAGTCCATGCCAATTGTGGTGTGGTATTGTTGTATTGTTGATGAATACATAGATATTCATTAAATTGTATTGATTGGTGGTATGACACCTTGGTGTAGGTGAATTTTGCAAGTTATAGCTTGAATGCGAATTTGACTGATTGTAGAAATTGTTGGTGGGAACAAAGGTTGACTAAAGCTTGAGGTAAGCCTTCGGACCTTGGGTGTAATTCCCTTGATTGTTCCACCAAGCCCTGAAAGGGTAGTGGTAATTATAGTGTATATAAATGCAATGAAATAGTGTAATGCTTTGTTATACGTATGTGTATGCATTTGGTGTGGCATAGGATGGTGTTTCCCTATGTGGTATGTTGTATGACGATGCGTAAATCATACTTGGTAGTTTAGCTGGCCAGTAGGACTATTTGCATCTGAGGTTCCTTAGGACAGCTTGAGAGCTCGAGGGATTTCTCCTGGAGATGTTATTGCACTTTGCATAGATATGTATTTACTGCATTATTATTGTTATTGCTATTACACTGATATGGAACTGTGGGGTGGAGAGATGCTCCAAGGACCCCTGGTTTACTGGATATATTCGTATATCTCACCCCGTGTTGTGGGAACCCCCTTTCAGGTAAGGATGCTGCAGGAGCCACCAGTGATGCATGAGGATCCTGTATTTTGATGTTATACATGTTGTTTTGTAGCTCACATGTATAAGATTGTAATTAATAGACAATTGATAGATGTATGTTCTGTTTATTTGGAATGGACTTAGCCTATGCTCATGCTTTTGGTTATCTCTTTGTTGATGGGAGCCAAGGGAGTGATCATAGTGTTTTGTAAGCTAAGTTCCATGAATTGTAATGAACATGATTTGTAATTGATGATTACCTTAAGTTCATTATATGCATACTCTTTATGTATTGGATTGTTGAGCTGAAAACCATATTAGGTACCTAGTGCTAAATTGGGAATTGTTGAGAAAACAAAGGTTATGCTGCCCAAATTTTAGTACAGACACGAGGAGAGGTTGGAAAAGTTCTAGGGTTAAGTTAGATGGTTGAACAAGTGTGGCTTGTTAATGGAAATGCAACCTCCCTAGAATTAGATTTGGAAAATGTGGGAATTGGAATTCCCTGGCAGCGCGCTTCAGCGCCCAGGAGCGCGCTCAAGCGCCCTGCTGCCCCTGTGTGAGCCAATTCTCACTGCCTCCTCGCGCTTGAGCGCCCTGGTTTGCGCTTAAGCGCTCTTCGCTGCGAAAAGGTGGAATTTTTACTGTCTCCGCGGGCTTTAGCGCCCAGAGTGGGGGCTTAAGCGCCCAGAATAGCGCGCTTGAGCGCCCTGGTGCGCGCTTAAGCGCCCATTTACACTGAAAGACCTGATGCTCTCAGCCTCCGTGCGCTTAAGTGCCGAGATGGAGGCTTTAGCGCTCGATAACGCGCGCTTGAGCGCCCGGTAGCGCGCTGAAGCGCGCGAGGCCTGTGTCCAACATACACTTTTGTTGCTCTAATTTGTCATAACGCGAGCTACAGTGCTCCAAATGAGACGTGGTTCGAAGCCACGCGTAGCTAATGATTAGAAGAAGACATTTAATAACATTTGGTCTAAGGATATAAGAGTATGATGTTAAGCTTAATTTATTTTATTTCGCAATGTAATATGGTTATGATCACGCAATTGGGCAATATAAATTCGGCATGTTTTGAAATGAGAAATTTAACCGGATTTTTAATTGAACCCATGTGATTGTAACTGCGCTTAATATCATAATGCGATGTTAACAAACCGGTTCTAGAACGGGGTGTTACATTTTATGGTATCAGAGCAGTTTTGTAGGGGGGGAAATTGTCAGCTATTGTTGCGTATGCTTAGTGTTTAATGCTTTATAGTTGTTTTAGTACTCTTTATGATTATTGCATTTGTGATCACTAAGTGTGGGCCTGATCAACTCATTTCTTTATGTAACATGTGTAGTGACATGACGAGGCACCGAAACATCCCCGGACCATCAAACACCGATGCTCAGCCAGAACCTGTTTTGGCTGCTCTTGTGAGGCCCAGAAGTGACCGTGGGGCAACGGGCGTACAGCGTGATCCCGTGGCTAAAACTCTTGCAGCCGTTCAGAGGGAGTTGGCTGCTAGCAGACAAGCCAATGAAAATCTGTTGAAAACAAATGAAGACTCGCGGAATGCTATGGCCGCGATGATGACCGAGTTGAGGACGTTGAGGGGTCCTAGGCCCGTGAACCGGCAACTCACTCCTCCTCCTCCTCCACCTCCTTCACAGGAAGAGGGTGTAGCGGGTAACAATGAAGGTGAGGCTAGTCATCCTTCTAGAGCCACAGTCATCACACAGAAGTTCGTCAACCACGTGTAGAGCACGTTGATGAACATGAAGCGGAAGAGAGGAGATTGACGGCTTTTCGGAAACATAAACCTCCTACTTTTAAAGGGGGTTATGATCCAATGGCTGCAGCAAAATGGCTCCAGGCGATGGAGAAAATCTTCAGGGTGATGAGATGCCCTGATGCAATGAAGTTAATCTACTCCGTGTACATGCTGGAAGAAGAAGCGGAGGATTGGTGGACTAATACCGTACAGCCCCTAGAAGCTGAAGGCCGGGAAATCACCTGGCGGTTGTTCGAGACATTGTTCTTGGATAACTATTTCCCTAGAGAGGCTAGGGAACAGAAGCAGAATGAGTACAATGACCTAAAGCAAGGGTCGATGTCAATTGACCAATACTTTGCTAAATTCAATGAGTTGGTGAAATACGCCAATTATGGGAGAGCTTTGCCCACTTCAGCTGAAATGACCTCCAAGTTCCAACGGGGTCTGAACGAAAAGATGTCTCGGAAGATGTCAAACTGTGACATTCGAGAATTTAGTAGATTTGTAAATCAATGCAAAAAGGTGGAAGAGGTATACAAGGGGTCACAAGTCAAGAAGCCTTATGAGGCCCAGACACCTGGTTCCAATAGAGCAACGGGCTCAAGTTATTGGAAGAACAAGAAGATGAAAGGCAAGAAGCTAAATGTGAATAGTCCATTAGACTTGTTCAAAAAGCCCGGAACTCCGAAGACTTTTGTTGATAGGGGACCTTCTCCCAAGTGTAAAGGTTGTGGTAAGGAGCATAGAGGCCCGTGTTCTACAGGTGAAGTCATTTGCTATAAATGTGGAAGGTCCGGCCACTACTCCAGGCAGTGTCCTCAGAATGAAGTGAGGACTATGGCAGTTCAAGCTACTGTTGTTCCTGTCTATGTTGTTCCACCTATGTTAGAGTCTCATACGGTTGGTAGAGTATATACCATGGACCGTCAACAATCGGAGAAGGCTCCGAATCTAGTGAAAGGTACAATTTATATTGATAATATGGATGTTGAAGTGTTGTTTGACTCAGGAGCTACACACTCCTGTATGTCTGATTTTATGGCCGTTGGGCTAAATTTGCAAATGTACGACATTCGCCCTCCAATGAAAGTGGTTACTGCTACTGGAGAGGAGTGTTATACATCCGTGTTGTGTAAAGATGTTGAGTTTAAGTATGAAGGCCAAGATTATGTGCTGGATTTTATTTGTTTACCTATGATCAGTCTATCATCTTGTGCTATGATAGACTGCTGTGGTAAAAGGATTGTGCTTGCTGCTGATGATTCTGCTACTAGTTCTTCCCCATATCTATCTGTGTTGCAGGTTAGAAAGTCTTTGAGGGCCGGGGCATTGGGATATGTCTTTGTGGGGGGTTTAGTAGGCGGAAGTCATGAGGAGATTGACACTATTTCCGTGGTGAAGGAGTTTGTGGATGTGTTTCCAGATGAAATTCCGCAACTTCCGCCTCATAGAGAGATTGAGTTCACGATTGATCTATTGCCTGGTATGGGGCCTATCTCTCTGGCTCTGTATCGGATGTCACCACCAGAATTAGCCGAGTTAAAGAAGCATATTGAGGAGCTTTCGGCTAAGCAGTTTATCAGGCCAACTGTGTCCCCGTGGGGAGCACCAGTTATATTTGTTAAGAAGGACGGTAGCATGAGATTGTGCACTGATTACCGTCAGTTGAATAAGGTTACCATTAAGAACAAGTATCCTCTCCCTCGCATAGATGATTTGCTTGATCAGTTGAGGGGTGCTTGTGTCTTCTCAAAGATTGATTTGAGGTCGGGTTATCATCAAATCCGAATTAGGCAGGAAGATATTCCGAAGACTGCCTTCAGATCTAGATATGGACATTATGAGTATCAAGTAATTCCATTTGGACTCACTAATGCTCCGGCGGTGTTTATGGATTATATGAATCGCATATTAAAGCCGTTTCTGGATCAATTCGTGATTGTGTTTATTGATGATATCCTGATATATTCCAAGAGTAAGGAAGAGCATGAAGGTCACTTGAGAACTGTGTTGCAAATTCTTAGAGAGAAACAGTTGTATGCAAAGCCTTCTAAATGTGAATTTTGGTTTTCTCAAGTGCAATTTCTGGGTCACGTGATTTCTGCTGAGGGAGTGGCGGTTGATCCTAGCAAGATAGAGGCAGTTATTGATTGGGAGAGACCCAAGACGGTAACGAAAATAAGGAGTTTTCTGGGTTTGGCTGGTTATTACCGGAGATTTATTAAAGAATTTTCGGCCATGGTTTTGCCATTGACCCGTTTGACCCGGAAGGATACTCCATTCATTTGGACGCAGGAATGTGAAGAATGCTTTCAGAGCCTTAAGGAGAAATTGACGACTGCTCCAGTGTTAGTACTTCCCGATCCGGAAGGTGAGTTTAAGGTATACGGCGATGCTTCTAAAAAGGGACTGGGTTGTGTGCTGATGCAGGATAGGTGAGTGGTAGCGCATGTATCAAGGCAATTGAAACCGCATGAAGAAAATTATCCGACCCATGACCTTGAGCTTGCTGCAATTGTTTTTGGATTGAAACAGTGGAGGCATTTCTTGTATGGAATGAAGTTTGCCATATTCAGCGATCATAAGATCTTGAAATACTTGTTTGATCAAAAGGAATTGAATATGAGACAACGACGGTGGACCGAGTTCCTAAAAGACTATGATTTTGAATTGAAATATCATTGTGGCAAAGCTAATGTTGTAGCTGATGCACTGAGCCAAAAATCGGTGAGCTTAGCAAGCATGATGATTAGAGATTATGATGTGATTGAGAGGTTCAGAGATATGCAATTATCTAAAATCTTTCCATGTAGAATTTGTGTCATCAAAATTACAAGCATTGAAAATGAACTGATGACTAGAATTAAAGAAGCTCAACTGCAAAATGAAAGTGACAAACGACTGAAAGGTCAGAGTGGTGTATCCTGCAATGATGAGGGTATACTATTATATCAGGGTCGTGTTGTTGTACCTAGGCAGTTGGCGGAGGAAGTAATGACAGAGGCTCATAAGGGTCATTTCACAGTTCATCCGGGAGCTACAAAGATGTATCAGGACCTAAAGATTAATTTCTGGTGGCCTGGTATGAAGAAAGACATTCTAAGTGTCTCATTTGTCAGAAGGTCAAGATTGAGCATCAAAAGCCTTCTGGTATGTTGCAACCTCTGGATGTTCCTGAATGGAAATGAGAGAGTATCTCCATGGATTTCGTAGTGGGATTGCCGCGAACACAGGCTAGTTATGATTCTAATTGAGTGATTGTGGATAGATTGACAAAATCCGCACACTTTTGCCAGTGCGGGTAGACTTCTCTGCTGAGAGGTTAGCTAGGCTCTATGTGAAGGAGATCGTGAGGCTTCATGGGGTGCCTGAGAGCATTGTTAGTGATCGGGACCCGAAGTTCACTTCTCGCTTCTGGGGAGCATTGCAGGAGGCTCTTGGCACTCAGTTGAGACTGAGCACTGCTTATCACCCACAGACGGATGGTCAGACTGAGAGGACCATTCAGACGTTGGAGGATATGCTGAGGGCTTGCACCCTGGAGCAGGGTACTGCAAGGGATCGATATCTCCCGCTGGTTGAGTTTTCATATAATAAT